TATATATATATATGTATATATGGAGTGCGTATGGAGGACTTTTTGATGGAACCACGCCTCATTTGCGTTACATCGAGAGGAGAACCACGAAAGCTCCCACGTTTAGCCTGACGGTAAGAGAACTCTAAACCATAATCCGTCTACCACTGCGGATATTTCATGTCAGCACTGTGGTCGGTGCGAGATGGATGTGGAATACTATCTACCAATCATCGCTGAGATTCGAACCCGGTTCACCCGATTGGAAGGTGAGCGCTCTAATCCCCTGAGCCATCACGGTTCAAACCTTATTAATTATAAACTTTAAATTACACAGTATAATATTATTATCTTGCTGACATCCATTTTCGGGTCAATCCAAGGTAACTCAAAAGTGAAAAGCGCTTCAGAACTGCAGTGAGAACGTGCCATAAAAGATTCCTCTATTTATGCTTCTAACTCTAATTGCGCTTCTGTTTTCGTATTTTGTAATCTGACAATCTTACTACGGAAATATTTCAAATCATTCTTAAACGAAGTTCATTTGAATTCGCTACTCACTTTATAGATTTCGTTTTCCGTTTTGTTCTGTATTTTCCTAGCAATTTATTTTTTGTTTTTTGATTGATATGTTTACTTCGTGTATATAATTTTTACTTTATGTGTTCTACTTTCTTTTCAATTTTTTCTTCGAGTGCTCCTCACACTATTGTATTGATATATTTTGCTTTGGCTATATTGATACAATATTAGAAAGCACTCTTTTTTTGCGGATATATTCGTGTGAGCTGATGAGGAGATTATAGCTTTCATTATTTTGTTTTCATTATTTTGCTTTACTTTTTAAAATATATATATTAATAGTTTTATATACAATATTCAGATTTATTCATGATCCTTTGGTTATTCATTTTAATGATTTTAATATTTTAACTAAACATATTTATCCAAGTGAATTAATTCTTAACAAAAGTAATATTTGAAATTCTACAGCAAATTTTCAAGATTTACCTCTTATTATTAATGAAGATAGGAAAATTACATTTTAACTTTTTGACAAAAGAAATTATTTTAACTTTCCAATTCAAAAGAGAAATAAACTTAGCCAATAAGATTTTTTCTAATATTATTACCAATCAGATTCTTACGTTTTGCCGAAATAATTCAAACTATAAGAAGTTTTTAAGAAAAGCTGATAAATTTAAAACAGATTTAATTAATAGCCATTTTCCTTATTCATTTCTTCAATTTCATTTTAAAAATATTTTAAACCACGTAGAATATTAAACATTTTTTTTATTAAATATCTTTTTTCTGCTTTTAGAATTAGCTCTAATTTATTTATAAGGTAGGAACTAATTATGATATGGTATTCTTAAAGCCACTAGACTAAATAGTTAGGATGTAACCTTTTATGCTGGATTAATTCATTTTTCAAATAAACTTCGAAATAAATTGTAGCTTAATAACTTTAGTTAATTAATTTTAATTGTTCAGTGTGAAAGACAGTTTATTTTTACTGTTATTACTATTTTTTTTATTTATTTATTTTGTAAGTATGGAATGGGCTCTAGTTGAGGACCAGCCACTGCCGATGAATGCAGGTAATGCGTGTAGACTTTACTGTTATGATATAATGTATGAATGAAGGATAAGGTCTATGAACGGCTTGCTATCCATGTATGCAGGCTCTGATTTATGAGCAGTCACCCTATAAAAGAAGGAGTACCAACTAAATGGTTTATTCCAAATTTAATTTGAACTAAAATTTTATAAATTTAACTTCCTAATTAAGTCTGCAATTAAACTTTTTTCAGCAATTTAATTTAACCTTTTAATTAATTTTAAGTCTTTATTTATTAAATTAATTAATTTTCTTCTATTATTAATAAAAAAAATTTCCTATTAAGTGTTTTGTTACTTAAATTTTCCAAAAATTTTTTTATTAACTGGATTTTCTCACAAATGGCAGCCCTGAAATGTAATTTGCTTCATATTTTTTTACCAAATATATTTTTTTAAATTATTTTGTGTAGATTTAAGCTATAAGCAGTACTTTTTATTCTTTCCTTCTTAGCGAATTTTTGTTAACTGTTAAATTAGTATATGTATTTGTAAGGCTTTTTCTACTTTTGCTCCACGTCGGTAAGTTTGTTTTCTGCTTACTTTTATTTCAAACTCATTTTCAATTGGATTTTTATTTTTAGCGATATAGATGCATTATAAAGAGTAATTTTTATCTTAGGAAAATTATATCTTCATTTGGAAATATCGCATTTATATCGTCCTAAGGGAATGCGTCCTGATGGAAACCTTTACGTTTTCCCATTAAAAAGTTTCTCTATTTTATTTTATTTTATTATCCTTCGTTGTGTTTATATATATATATATACATATATATATACATATATATATATATATATATATATGCGCTTTTCTGACAGAAAAAAGTAAAGTTTTGGGTGCATTTAGCTGATACAAAGTCATAACCCGTAAAAATATTGCAGCCATAGAAAATTTGCATAAACCAACTAATGTTATTGAATTACGCCTATTTCTTGGAGTACTAAATTTTTATTAATGGTTTATACACAAAGCAGCAAAAAAACAATTTCCTTTACATAACATGCTGGGTCCTGGAATAAAAAACAATAAAGCTCAATTAATTTGGCCTACCTAAACGAAAGAAGCAGTTGAGAATCGCAAGCCGCCATTGTCACGCATTTAGCCCATCCATATCCTAAAGTATCATTAGCATTAAAAACTAATGCCTTCAATTCGATTTAAGGAGCATGTGTTCATCAACTTACAATTAACAGCTGTCAATCTTTAGACTTCTTCTCAAGAACACTCAGTCCAGCCGAATAGAAATATAGCGTATTTGATCACTCTGTTGGCGATTTTCTCAGCTATTAAATATTTTCCCTACACCTTTAGAGGGTAGTGATTTCATGATTTACCCAGATTGAAAACCGCTAATACATACTTTTGTTCACAATCTCTCACCCAGACCAATTAATCAGCTAAATTTCACAGCGCAATTTTCAAGTAACATGCACACCACGTCAGTGACTCAGAAAATATTGCGGCCGATGTCCTTCCTTGCTACAGAATCTTTCTACATAAAATGGTTCAATTATTCTGATATAGCTGATGTTCAAACAAATAATCCTGAATTAAAAGAATCGTTGCATTCTAGTATCAGCTTAAAACTTCAAATGCCAGAGAGAGCAACCTATCTTTATCGTGAGATTTCAACAAATGTTATTCACCCTTACACACCAAAAAAAATCACAGCATTCTGAGCAGCCTGGAGTTAAAGCTACAATTAAATTAGCAATTAGTAAACAAAAACTCCCCTATCTGGTTCCTTTTTTCTCTTGATGGCGATTGGAGCTGCCATAATAGCATTCGGTGTAAAATGTCCCTTTAATGCGGTTCATGTACTTTCACTCGCCGTCAAGGTAGAATGAAAGCCTGATGACCAAAAAGTATTTTCCCGCTAAAAACTCACTCATATTTTTCTCCATTTTTTTCAGCTGTGATCGGGTATGCAATTTTTTTACGTTCAGGGAAACTGATCCCTTAGAAACCGTATTCCTCATTGCACGTGATTCTCGCACCTCCGATCACCGTCAAGAGAAAAATTAGAGCCTGATTGGAACAGGTTTTTACTCTTTTAAGACAGAGGAGATATGAGAATTTCTTGCAGTGAGAATTGACCCTTAAGTAGTGTGTGATTACTTGGCTAAAAACATTTGTATTACAGAAGGTTCACAATTTACGCAAAAACACGCCCTTGCAAAATTAGGAAGAAACTGCATACTTTCGAATTTTCGATACATTTTTTTTTCTTCATACAGCGTGAATGGCTCTTTAACAGAAATGACCCTTTTACCAACCAAACGGTAATAAACTAAAACATTCTACGTAAGTTTTGTGGCAATGGGTTTAACGATTTTCGGGATTGCTAAAATTTATTGCATCACTAATTTTGACGTTTGGAAAGTTGATTAAAGCAGTAAGAAAAGGTATATATAAAGAATTTAATCTTCAGTTATTGAACAGTATTCGAATAGTGCTATGATAAATACGACCAGATTTCATAATTGCATTGTTTATTAAGGGCGAATTCTATCTTAGTTTCGTTCTTAATAGGTCCGCTATAATTAATTCTTAATTTCTAATTTATTTTTATTTCAAGATTAAATGAGTCTTTTTTATGCCAAAAATATATCTAACATTCTTAGCTTTTTGGAACATTGCATCAGTGTTAAACATGCTAGTCGATTTGATGCGTTAAACAGTTTGACAACAATTACGCAATAGCAACTCTGTTTACTATAATCGTATGTATGTGGAACTTATTGAACTAATGACAGAAGTCATGTTTTCATGGCCGCCTGTTCACAATAAACAACAATACTTCTAAAACAATACTTTAAAGTATTTATAAATTCAATTTGATTGAAAATATGTTAAATTACACTTGGGGGCCCTGTTTGGGGATAGGTGGATTTAGCTTGTCAATGCAAGCCTGTAAATGTCGGTTAAATATTCGCGATGACATTAAATTTTAAGAAAAACAAAATAAATTTAAAGAAACCTTATCAGGGTACCTTTTATTATAACAATTTAACTTCTTAATTCAATTTATTTAATTTCAATGAAATGAAAAACAAAATTTTAAAAGGAATTTATTGTTCATAAAAAATATCATTTTTACTAGGCCATGATTTTTTTAAGATTTAAATTCAACATTTATGCGTTATTTATGTTTGAAATGATCACAGAAGAAATTGTAGTGGAGACTGTATTTACATTGAATTCAGTTTTAAAGTATTAACTCTTACTTTATTAAAAATGAAAGGATACTATAATGCTCAAAATATTTGTCTGAATTTAGTTGGATATCAATATAGAAATTGTTAAAGCTAATCTTATTATATTATTGGATGATATCGAAGGTTTCTACTAAATGTATTTGTTGGCATTAGTCTCTAATAATTAAAGTCTTGTGCTTTAATTATTGTTCATTCCACTAATTTACTAATAGTAAATAAACTTAAAAGTAGCAATGTTTTGCGTGAATCCATTTTAGAAATACACCAACACATTAACTTTTTAAGACAAGTTGATAATTGTGTCTCAATTGCGAATGATTTATAAAAAAAGTCGGGATTTTTAAAAGCCAGTTGTGATAGCCAGTTCAAGAAACAACAATTTACTATTAAATATCTAATTACAATTCCTTATTTTTTTTTATATCTAGTGTAGGTAAAAATAATATATAACACACAAATGATTGAAAACTAAAATAAAGTTTGAAATAAACAAGTTTCTTATATTCTTAAACTTTTTCTTTTGCTTTAAAATTCTTTTGTCTTACTGATTTCAAATTAATTTTAACATAAATTAATTTTTTGTTTCACTGTATTACTATTACTAGTTCCTTGAAGGATGGAGGTAATAAAAAAGCCTTTCGAGTGTCCAAATGAAGATTGTTCGATGGTTAGTGGCAATTGGTTTTACTTTGTTCATTTATAAATTCCTTTTTTATTTTGCTGCCTTATACAAGTTTATTTTGATGTTATTGCAGTATTAATAATTATAATAAATAATAGGTTCGATGGTTAGTGGCAATTGGTTTACTTTGTTCATTTATAAATTCCTTTTTGATTTTGCTGCCTTATACAAGTTTATTTTGATGTTATTGCAGTATTAATAATTATAATATATAATAGTTAATGATATAAAGTATTAACTAGAACAATATTATACAGCAATATTAATAGATTTCAATCTGAAGTTCTAGCCATATTAAATTTGTACCAAATTCTAACATTGCTCTTATAATGTATCTAAATTATAAACGAATATGTTCTAGCTTGCTTGTAATAAAATACTATCTTTTAATAAAAATTGAAAGATTTTTGTTTTTAATTATGTTAACTGTTTTGTGTCATAAAAATTTCTAGTTTTATATATTTGTAGAATTAAAATTTTTCTTTTTTTTTCTTTTCTCCAGAGTTTTACAAATGAAGATCATTTGTCGGTTCACAAGAAAAAGCACATTCTATCTTTATCACTCACACCTACGACTCCTTATAAGACTTTATATGGTAAGTCGTATACATTATATGGTAAGTCATATTCTTTCTGTACATAAATCATTGTTTATCTTAATATTTATTTATTTTATTATTATGGAAAGCTCATTTAAAAAAATTGGAATCATTTTCATGTTTCTTTAAATTTTATTTTAATTCATATATAAATTAAATAACCAGACAATTTAAGACTCATATTTAGTGTTTCTTTAATTGTTTATCATTATTTCTATTTTAATTAATGATCAATCTCAGTTTATGACGGCAGCCAAATATAGTTCAGAAACATACTTAAATACTAAATTGATCATTACAATTTTGTTTTGTCAAGTCAATGAGCAATGTTCCCTAACTTTTAAATATTAAATGATATTGTATGAAGGAAATAATGTTTTTAAAAGTAATACTTCTCTAAATATTTCCAATATTTTTTTTTCGATTTTTCCCCCTAATTCTGTTCTTAAACTGCTATCTTTCATAAATTTAGTATATGGTTATTTGACTACTTAAAGAGTTCTTTATTTATTAAATTCATAAATTGCACAATAATTTCCTTGTTTGTTAACCAAGCATTATTATGAAATTATTTTTGATGCTGTTTTTTGTTATAGTACTTACACATGCTAATACAGGGATCTGTCCAGGTTAAATTTACTACCGTTTAGCGGTACCCCGTGTTGAGTTTTTGCCGTCAAAAAGTGTTTTTTTTTTTTACATGACAGCAGGGTTCGTTGATTTAAATCAATTGATTTTTATATATATATTATTTTGATTTTAAAAGGTAAAAAACAGTGCTTTGAATTATTGATACTTTTATTATTTTATTTTCTTAGTTTTAAAATTTACTTTAAATAAATTGCTGCATTAATTAATTTTAGTTAACGAAATTACTTTCTTTCTTGGTGTGTGTTAAACACATTTGAAATTACATGTTTAAAAATATTTTGATTCTTAACATTGAAAGTACAGATTAAAGTAAATATTTAATGCTGTCTTAATATAGACTTGCATAGCTATAGAAAGTAAATAAACATGATTTTTTTTCAAAAAGAAAAAAAGCAAATGTTAACCTTTTGATTAAAAAAGCATGGAATTCTAATCTACATTATAGTTTATTGATGGAAATTTCTATATTTCTAAAGCTTGAGGCTATATTAAAAAGAAATTACCTTAATATGCCAAAAATAGAAAGAAAAAAAAAAGCTGAGTTCAGATATTTTTTTCCTGATATAGTGTCATT